GTTACTTTTTGCTGATGATACTGTGCTTATGGGAGATTCTAAAGAAAAATTGCAAAGGTTAGTGGATGAGTTTGAGAATGTGTGTAAAGATAGAAAGTTGAAAGTGAACATAGAAAAGAGTAAGGTGATGAGGGTATCAAATGATTTAGATAAAGAAAAATTGGATATCAAATTGGGGAGGAGGAGTATGGAAGAAGTGAATGTTTTCAGATACTTGGGAGTTGACGTGTCGGCGGATGGATTTATGAAGGATGAGGTTAATCATAGAATTGATGAGGGAAAAAAGGTGAGTGGTGCGTTGAGGTATATGTGGAGTCAAAAAACGTTATCTATAGAGGCAAAGAAGGGAATGTATGAAAGTATAGTAGTACCAACACTCTTATATGGATGTGAAGCTTGGGTGGTAAATGCAGCAGCGAGGAGACGGTTGGAGGCAGTGGAGATGTCCTGTCTAAGGGCAATGTGTGGTGTAAATATTATGCAGAAAATTCGGAGTGTGGAAATTAGGAGAAGGTGTGGAGTTAATAAAAGCATTAGTCAGAGGGCAGAAGAGGGGTTGTTGAGGTGGTTTGGTCATTTAGAGAGAATGGATCAAAGTAGAATGACATGGAAAGCATATAAATCTATAGGGGAAGGAAAGAGGGTTAGGGGTCGTCCTCGAAAGGGTTGGAAAGAGGGGGTAAAGGAGGTTTCGTGGGCGAGGGGCTTGGACTTCCAGCAAGCGTGCATGAGCGTGTTAGATAGGAGTGAATGGAGACGAATGATACTTGGGACCTGACCATCTGTTGGAGTGTGAGCAGGGTAATATTTAGTGAAGGGATTCAGGGAAACCGGTTATTTTCTTATAGTCGGACTTGAGTCCTGGAAATGGGAAGTACAATGCCTGCACTTTAAAGGAGGGGTTTGGGATATTGGCAGTTTGGAGGGATATGTTGTGTATCTTTATACGTAAATGCTTCTAAACTGTTGTATTCTGAGCACCTCTGCAAAATAAGTGATAATGTGTGAGTGTGGTGAAAGTGTTGAATGATGATGAAAGTATTTTCTTTTTGGGGATTTTCTTTCTTTTTTGGGTCACCCTGCCTCGGTGGGATTATTATTATTATAATCAAAAAGAAGCGCTAAGCCACAAGGACTATACAGCATGCCTCGGTGGGAGACGACGAACTTGTTGAAAAAAACCAAAAAAAAAAAACCTTCAGGTTACGATGTGACGACCAGTGTCAAGCTTAGAACTTTGTGATATATTCCTTATGCCAGGGAGTTACTCAGTGAAAGTGTTAATTCTCAATATATGTACTTGCACACAAGTAATGTTACTATTGAGGAAGCAGTAATATTCCTCTGATCATTATCAAGTGTAGTGACCATATTGACATAGTCTCCAGAGGGGGTCTATGATGTACATTCTATTTAAGAGTTTTCTTGTGTGAAGGAAAGCTTCTGACCAAAGTGATATTTAATAGATATTTGTGAATATCTAAAGTATTTAAGCTTTTAAATAAAAAAAGACTAGGAAAAGACTGAGTAACTATTATTTGTGAATTACATTTCTAAGTTTGGAAATATCTTCTCATTCTATGAAGTGTATTGTTACGGAGTGCACTAACCTGGCTAAAGATTAAGATTCGAACCGTAACAAAGATCAAGTGAATCTTCAATTTTTCTGCACAGGAGATCGATGGCTTGTGTAGTAGGTACTTTGGTGAATAGGGAAGTTACGTCAAGGCTGTAAAGTTTCTTGTTCTTAATGTTGATGTTGCGAACGCGATTGAGAAGATCACCCAAGTGTTTGAGATGTGCTGGACTGATAATGCCCAAGAGTTTGGAGAGGTGTTTTGCGAGAATTCCTGAGAGTTGGTGGGGAGCACTGCCTATTCCCGAAGATATGGGCCTCAATGGGATACCAGGCTTTTGAGTTTTTGGTAGGCCATACAATCTGGCAGGTCTGGGGTTGCTGGGTATGGTGTGCAGAAGTTTCTTCCCTTGTTCTGAGTTCCTCAGAATGCGGCGAGTCCTTTGAAGAAAAGTTTTAGTAAGGTTGTCCACTTGGTTAGTTGTGAGGGGTTTGTAGGTATCTGGGTCATTAAGTAGACTGAGCATTTTGTTCCTGTAGTCGTCAGTGTTCATGATAACACCACCACCTCCTTTATCAGCGGTGGTGACCCTGATGGTCGTGTCTTCTGCTAAAACCTTAAAGTGCAATGATGTAACGTCGAGGGATGACCGGGGAGCTGAGTGTAGAGATGGCTGCTGAGATGATGCCTTGAAGAAAACCTTTTTGGAAGTCGGAGTCATTGTGTCTGTAGTTTTTGGCGATGAAACTGAGGTCTTGTTTTGGTTTCGTAATTCCTGTTGCGAATTTGAGGCCTAAGCTGAGGGCTTCGGTTTCTGTGGTTGACAGTGGACGAGATGAAAGATTTTGAATAATGTCAGGTCTTCCTAAACTTTTCCAATGACTATTATCGCAGAGAGTTTGTAGTTTCCTAGCAAGTTTGATCTTCTGTTGAACATTCGCTGTGGCAACTCTGCTGTGAATGATTTCGGCAGTGCGTCCGTTCATGTTGCCCCGAAGTGCTGTGCCTAGTGTTCTGACTTGGAGAAAAGTTTCCTTTGTAGCATTGTTTAAGTCATCTGCACACTCTTCATGGTAGGTCCGAGCTGTAGCGGAGAAAGGAGGTTTGATGTTGGCAATTTAAGGAGGAGTAGATCTTGGTAAGACCATTTCTTGGATGCAGTCACGAAGAAAATTGTGTCTGTTGCTCTAACTCTATCTGAAACCCCTGACCTAATCCCAGTTACTTCTCTCCACTGAAACTCTCCCACCCCCTTCAGCTTTGTTTCACTAAAAGACAGGACACCCAGCTTCTTCTCATTCATAGCATCCACAATCATCTCTTTCTTATCATTCGCACAACATCCACGCACATTCAGACATCTCACTTTGGCAATTTTCTTCCTCTTCTTCTTTTTAGTAATCTGTACAGGAAAAGGGATTACTAGCCCATTGTTCCTAGCATTTTAGTTGACTTTTACAACATGCATGGCTTATGGAGGAAAGATTCTTATTCCACTTCCCCATAGATATAAAAGGAAAAGTAGTAAGAACAAGAACTATTAAGATAAAATCAAAGAAAACTCAGATGAGTGTGTATAAATAAAACGTGTACATGTACGTGTAGTGTGACCTAAGTGTAAGTAGAAGTAGCAAGACATACCTGTAATCTTGCATATTTATGAGACAGACAAAAGACACCAACAATCCTACCATCATGTAAAACAATTACAGGTTCTTGTTTTACACTCACCTGGCAGGACGGTAGTACCTACCTGGGTGGTTGCTGTCTACCAACCTACATAAAAACTATGTAAATTAAAAACAGAAACTGAGAAAAAAAAGATACTGGCAACATGTCTGCAAGCTGCAGGAATCCATGTTGCCAACACAAAGAAAACTGCCCTCTTTTAAAAAAAAAATATTCAAAATAATCAGAGCGCTGCAGTAAAACGTAAATTAACAATTGGACAGTTAAAGGGTTAAGAGGAACTCCAAGATTTATATATCCTTTGCTTCCTTCCATTTTCATGATCAGGGGTACATTGAAAGGAAACTAAATATAATGCTAATACAGTACCTTATATATATATACTGTACATCAATTCAGTTCTTAAACTTTCATTTTGTTAAAATAAATGACTGTGTATCCTGGGTTGACAGGAATTGCACCTGTCCATAAAAGCAACTCCCTCGTGTTTATATATCCTGTTTCATTTCCTTTGCATAATCTAAGTTAAGAGATGAAAGGAACCTGGATGTAATGTGTATACAGTACCTACTTTATACATTTGTATATCAGTTTAGTTGATGAAAATTAAACAAGAACGTCCCTCCCTCTCACCAATCTCTGCTCTTGCTATTCTTATTGAAAATACATGGGAAATGAGACATTATTTTCATTATTAATTTAAATAAAATTATTAATATGAATTAAATAGCTTATATTTACAAAGTCCTAGGCAGTAGGTTGGTAGACAGCAACTGCCCAGGGAGGTACTACCATCCTGCCAAGTGAGTGTAAAACAAAAGCCTGTAATTGCTTTACATGATAATAGGACTGCCGGTGTCTGTTCTTCTGTCTGATAATCATGCAAGATTTCAGGTATGTCTTGTTACTTCTACTTACACAACTTAGGTCACACTACACATCCATGTACAAGCATATATATACACACCCCTCTGGGCTTTCTTATATTTTCTTACTAGTTCTTGTTCTTGTTTATTTCAGCTTATCTCCATGGGGAAGTGGAACCGACTTCTTCCTCCGTAAGCCATGAGTGTTGTAAGCGTTGGCTAAAATCCCAGGAGCAAGGGGCTAGTAACCCCTTTTCGTTTTTCTTTTTGCGCCACCCTGCCTCAGTGGGAAACAGCTGGTTTGTTAAAAGAAGAAAAGATTTACGAAGTGTATGGAATAGGTGATAGGTTATTGAAAGAAGTTTGAGTTTTATGAGGGCAGTGAGGCTCAGGTTAGTGTATGTAGAAGAGATTATTTACCAGTCAAAGTAAGCCTTAGACAGGAATGCATGGTGTCACCATGGTTATTTAACATATTTACAGAGTGAGGTTGTAAAAGAAGTAAATTTAAGGGTATTGTGAGGTGTGGGATTAAAATACAGTGAACCCTCCGTTTTCATCGATCTCTGTTATCGCCAATTTCGGCGATAACAGATATAATGTAAGGAATGGAAAACTATTTTTAAGTCTTGTCAAATTACAAATGTTATTACAGATTACCTGACCTACTTGTGAATAAAAACTTGCTGTGACCCACAAATAAAACATTTCTATGCATGCAGAGTGAATACATTATTCAGCTCATTAAGTCACTCTTTACAAACCAACCCCTACCATATTTACTAGCTAAAGCAGTTTCCCTTGATAAATAAACATTCATAAAAGTATCTCCCCACCATTTTTTTTCATAATAGAAATAATAACTTACATCTTTGGTATGCGCACTGATGTAGTTAGCTGTCTCACTGTCATCGGCACACTTTGTTAACCAACGCTTGATTGTTTCACAATCTGTTGGGGCGTGGTAATCACTACCACATTTATAACTGAAATAAAAACAATGGTATATATTACTCAGTCCAGTCATGAATTATGCCTGGTGACATTTTCATAATATACAAATAGTTGAAATTGTATCACCAAAAGAAATAAAAACAATGATAATGTACAATACGATATATGTTCTTACCTTAATACAAAATTAATTACAAATTCGCATCAGAATATCATCACTTTTTCACAGTTCAATTTAGAGGCTAAGAAAGAATATCCTACCTCAGTTGATTTCAAAGCCTAACCCTATACAGTGGACCCTCGGGTCACAATGTCATCGGCAAGCGATAAAATCGGATAGCGATGCATTTTAGAGTAAAAATATTGGCTCAGCCAATGATGAAAAACCCGGTTAAGGACAATCTTGTCCCAAACATGTCTGCCTGTCCGTCTGACCTGAGTGCGCCTCAGCTGCCCTCCCTTCAGCTAGTGTGCCAGTGTTTACAAGCCATTGCGGATGATTCCACACATATATTCGATACATTTTGCATTATTCCATTGTTTTCAGTGTTTTTAACTACTAAATAAGCCACCATGGGCCCCAAGAAAGCTTCTAGTGCCAACCCTGTGGTAAAAAGGGTGAGGTGTACTATCAAACTGAAGGAAGAGATAATCGCAAAGTATGAAAGTGGAGTGCGTGCCTCCGAGCTGGCCCGGTTGTATAACAAACCTCAATCAACCATCGCTACTATCTTGGCCAACAGAAAGGCAATCAAGGAAGCTGTTGCTGCAAGTTTTGTAGGCAAGTATGCTTACAAAACAGAGATAGCAAATACTCGAAGATGTGGAGACTGTTATTGGTGTGGATTAACAACAATCAATTATCAGGAGATAGTGTTTCAAAGGCAATCATATGTGAACAGGCAAGGCAGCTGCATGCAGATCTCATTAAGAAAATGCCTGTAACTAGTGCTGATATTAGTGATTTTAAGGCCAGCAAAAGTTGGTTTGAGAGGTTCAAGAATCGTATTGGCATACACAGTGTGATAAGGCATGGTGAGGCTCCCAGTTGTGACCAAATAGTGGCTGAAAAATATGTGCAGGAATTCAAGGAGTACATAGACACTGAAAAATTAAAACCCCAACAAGTGTTTAATTGTGAGAAAACAGGCCTGTTTTGGAAGAAAATGCCAAACAGGACCTACATTACACAGGAGGAAAAAGCACTGCCAGTGCACAAGCCTATGAAAGACAGGCTAACTCTTATGTTTAGTAGTAATGCTAGAGGGGATTGCAAAGTGAATCCTTTACTCGTGTATCACTCTGAAACTCCCAGTGTGTTCAAGAAAAATAGTGTCGTCAAGGCTAATTTGTGTGTGATGTCGAAGGCAAACAGTAAGGCATGGGTCACTAGGGACATTTTCCATGATTGGTTCTATCATGTGTTTGGCCCCACTGTGAAAAAAATACCTCCTGGAAAATAAATTGGACCTCAAGTACCTCCTGGTATTAAACAATGTTCCTGGTCATCCTCCAGACTTGCAAGAGTGAATTGCGGGGGAGTTGAACTTCATCAAAGTGAAGTTTTTGCCTCCTAATACCACTCCTCTCCTCCAGCCCATGGACCAGCAAGTCATTTCAAATTTCAAAAAACTGTACACCAAAACAGTGTTTCAAGAGTGCTTTGAAGTCACCTCAGATGATGAATTGACCCTAAGAGAGTTTTGGAAAGATCACTTTAGTATCCTCAGTTGCATAAACCTTATAGGTAAGGCTTGGGAGGGAGTGACTTGCAGGACTTTGAACTCTGCTTGGAGGAAATTGTGGCCACAATGTGTACAAGAGAGGGATTTTGAAGGGATTGGGGCTAACCCTGAGCAGCCTATACCAGTTGTGGAATCTATTATGTCATTGGGGAAGTCCATGGGGTTGGAGGTTAGTGGGGAGGATGTGGAAGAGTTGGTGGAGGACGACGATGAAGAACTAACCACTGATGAGCTGCAAGAGCATCTGCAACAGCAAGAGACCACAACTGAGGAAATTGCTTCAAAGGAGGGGAGAGAGAGATGGAGGAAGTTGCCTTCTTCAACGATTAAGGGCATTTGTATAATGTGGACAAAGGTGCAAGCCTTTATGGATGAACATCACCCTGACACAGCTATTGCATGCCGTGCTGGTGACTTTTACAATGACAAAGTTGTGGCCCATTTTAGGAAAATCTTAAAGGAATGCCAGAAACAGCTCTTTGGACAGATTTTTGGTGCAACAGAGGTCCAGTGACTGTCAAGTTGTTCCCAGTGGCATTAAAAAAGAAGGGAAGTAACCACGGAAAAGGACTTGCTTCCTAAAGCCCATATGGAAGGGGATTCCCCTTCCAAACAATAATACACCTCCATCATCTCCCCTCCTCCCATCTCATCACTCATCAATAAATCTTCAATAAAGGTAAGTGTCATTTATTCTTTATGTAGTATTTATTCTTCATGTAGTATTTATTCTTCATGTATCATTGTTTTCTGTGTAGGATATTGTATATTTCATGTGAAACAAAAATTTTAATACTTTTGGATGTCTGGAACAAATTAATTGGATTTCCATTATTTCTTATGGGGAAAATTAATTCGGCTAACGATAAAAGTTAAGAACAAGCTACCTGGAACGGATTAAAATCGTTACCCGAGGGTCCACTGTATGTAAGTTATGCTACCAGACCCTAGGATGCTACACACAAATATCTTACAGTTTTCCATGTACAGTACTATATTTTCTTTAATACTTTTTCAAGTATAGTGGATCCCCAGTTATCGTAATTAATCCATTCCAAAGAGAGTAGCTTAACCCGAATCTGACGATTTCCGAATTAATTTTCCCCTTAAGAAATAATGTAATGTAAATCTAATTAATCCGTTCCAGACACCCAAAAGTATTAAAAAAATCATTTTTTATGTGAAATGTACATTTTCCTACACAGAAAACAATGAGACAATACTAACAATAAAACAATACTAAAATGACACTTACCTTTATTGAAGACTTATTGATGAGTGATGAGATGGGAGGAGGGAAGAGGATGGAGGTGTATTATTGTTTGGAAGGGAAATCACTCTCCATAAGGACTTCAGGTACCATATCCATTTCCGGGGTTACTTTCCTTCTTTGTTTTTTAGCGCCACTGGACCCCTGTTACTCAAAAAAGTGTTCCAAAGAGGTCTGAATCTGGCATTTCTTTAAAACTTACCTAAAATGGGACACAACATTGTCATTGTACATGTTGCCAACACGGCCTGCAACAGCTTTGTCAGGGTAAAGTTCATCCATAAATGTTTGCACCTTTGTCCACATTGCACAAATCTCCTTTATCTTTGAAGAAGGCACCTTCCTCCATCTCTCTTCCTCCTCCTCTGAAGCAATTTTCTGAACTGTGGTCTGTTGCTGTTGCAGATGATGCTCTTGGTTAGCTCTTCATCGTCATCCTCCACCAACTCTTCCATATCCTCAAAACTCACATTCAACCCCATGGAATTCCCCATGCCACAACACTTTCCACAACTGGCATAGACTCCTCAGGGTCAGCCCCAAACCTTTCAAAATCTCTCTTGTACACCTTCTGGCCACAATTTTCTCCAAGCAGAGTTCAAAGTCCTGCAAGTCACTCCCTTCCAACCCTTACCTATAAAGTTTATTTTATGCAATGGAGGATACTGAAGTGATCTTTCCAGAACTCTCTTAGGTTCAATTCAGTGTCTGAGGTCACTTCAAAGCACTTTTGAAACACTGCTTTGGTGTACAGTTTTTTGAAGTTTGAAATGACCTGCTGGTCCATGGGCTGGAGAGGAGTGGTATTCGGGGGCAAGAACTTCACTTTGACAAAACAAAACTCCAGCACCATTTGCTCTTCCAAGTCTGGAGGATGAGCAGGAGCACTGTCCATTACCAGGAGGCACTTGAGTTCCAATTTATTTTCCAGGAGGTATTTCTTCACACTGGGACCAAACACTTCATTGAACCAATCAAGGAAAATCTCCCTCATGACCCATGCCTTACTGTCTGCCTTCCACATCACACACAATTTACTCTTGGCAACACAGTTTTTCTTGAACACTCTAGGAGTTTCAAAGTGATACACCAGTAAAGGCTTCACTTTGAAATCCCCATTAGCATTACTACAGAACATGGGAGTTAGCCTGTCTTTCATAGGCTTGCATCCTGGGAGTGCCTTTTCCTCCTGAGTAATGTAGGTCCAAAAGAGCACTGTTTCGTCACAACTGAACACTTCTTGAGGTTTGAATTGTTCAACCTCTATGTATCCCTTCAATTCCTGACCATGTTTTTCAACTGCATTTTTGTCATAACTGACAGCCTCACCATGTCTTATCACACTGTGTATGCCACTGCGCTTCTTATTAAATCTCTCAAACCAGCCTTTGCTGGCCTTAAATTCACCAATATCAGCACTAGTTCCAGGCATTTTCTTTACGAGATCATCATGCAACTGCCTTGCCTTTTCACAAATTATTGACTGCATAACACTATCTCCTGAAAATTGTTTCTCGTTGATCCACACCAACAACAAAGTCTCCACATCTTCCAGTCTTTGCGATCTCTGTTTTATAAGCATATTTGCACCTTTCGCAACAACAACTTCCCTGATATCCTTCATCCTGGCCACGATAGAAGCAATGGTTGTATGGGGTTTATTATACAATCTGGCCAGCTCAGCGGCACACACTCCACTTTCATATTTTGCAATGATGTCTTTCTTGAATTCTATAGTGTTTCTCACCTTCTTTACCAAAGGGCTGGCACTAGAAGCTTTCTTTGGGCCCATGGTGTCTTATTTCAAATTCAAAGTTTATTCTCTATAAGGATTACAATGCTGAGCTTACAAAATTTGGTTATTGTGTGGTTTACATGTAGTAAAATACTAATTACAGAGGGGGCCACTAGAACACCTAGCATGGCTAGGCATTTCGGGCAGACTTAGATTAATTCTTAAATTTAAAATATTACAAATTATGAGGTAAGTTAGTATTATGGCTAACCGACTAAATAC